AAAAAGCGAGTGGATATCAGAGAAAATATATTTTCCACCCACCAACTTACAAAATACATTAATTACTCATCTCAATTTTTCTTTACGAACTGCTCAATATAATATTTAATATATAAATAGTTATGTAAATTCTTTTAATTGTCTACTTATGCATACAGTCCCGTCACGAAATTATTGTATGAAGGTTTTCTAACTATAGATTAGATTATCTACAATAACCTTGTATCTTTTATTTATCTGGGAGGAGCATCTTTTTTTTGGGAGGAGCATCTTTTCCAAAGTTATATATAATATTTTTAATTTTTTGTAGACTCATAGAAAAAGAAAACGAAAATCAGATATCAAATAATGCAGAAGGCATAACTTGTTATAAATTGGCGAGATGACATACAAACCGACCCCGTCGGTCCCCCTCCCTCTCCCGGCCAAGCCTCATCTTGTTTCAAGAAACGTCGCCGTCATCGGTGCCGGCGCCGCCGGCCTCTCTGCCGCCCTGGAACTTCGCAAAGAAGGCCACATCGTCGTCGTCTACGAGCGGGCAACCCAGGTTGGTGGGACCTGGGCGTACACACCCGAAACAGAGACCGACCCGCTGGGACTCGATCCGGCCCGAAAAGTCATCCACTCCAGCCTCTACGCCTCGCTGCGGACGAACCTGCCCCGGGAGGTCATGGGCTTCCGGGCCTACCCGTTCGTGGCGAGCGGGAAGCCCGGGAGAGATCCGAGGAGGTTTCCGGGTCACGGTGAGGTGTTGGAGTATTTGAGAGATTTTGCCGACGAGTTTAGGCTCGGTGAGTTGGTTAGGTTCGGGAATGAGGTGTCGCATGTGGGGTTGGCCGAGGGTCGGAAATGGTCGGTGAGATCGAAAATTGGGAATGGGGAACATGGATACGATGAGGTGTACGACGCTGTGGTAGTCTGCAACGGCCATTATACGGAGCCCCGTGTTGCAGATATACCTGGTAACGTCTTCTTGCCCGCTTCATATTTTCTTGTCTATGGGCGACCGAAAAATTGGAGCTTTATGTGTAATTTTGCTGATGAGCTTGTCTTTGTTGAGTAACTACTGCTAAAAAAATTGTTTCTGTGTAGTCTGCCCATAGAAAAGTAGATCTTTTTACTTTTTGATATGAAGATCAGGTGACTAGAGATTGATTTTAAGTCAACAAATGAATGTTCTTATGTTCATCAGCTGGAAAAGTTGAATAATTAGGATCAGCGTATGGTTAGGGAAGCACGATTGGGCTCTTCCACTTCTTAGCTAAGAAAATTGCTACCTATGTATATATATTTTGTAGGTAAATTAGAATTAAGAGAGACTTTGTGGTGTATAAGATTTATGCATTCGGTTGTTCAAGTACTACACTGCTCCATTTGCCTCTATAACATATATTCTGCTGTATTTTATTGCATCTGAAATGCATTGTGCAAGATTGCATTCTGTTGTATGGGTACTAACTGCAACTGCACGAATGACTCCTTTTAACATACGTTCTGAGGTATTTTCTTGCATCTGAAATGCCTCAGTGACCGCGGGAAAAATTGTTTAATTTGTACCGTCTACCATACTCTATAATTTTTAACCCGTTTTTTCTGAGTAGAACAAGCTTTTAAATTTGGCACTGTTTAATGTTAATGTCCAGTTACTTTCTTGCTGCTGAAATGCTCTCTCTTGATGTCAATTTTGAAAGTAAACTATCTAAAACATTGCTTGACATGTGGATTGTTCTAAAGTATTGTCCTATTATATTTAGGAATTGATGAGTGGCCAGGGAAGCAGATTCATAGCCACAACTATCGCATTCCTGATCCCTTTCATAATCAAGTATGTGCCATGCCAATTGTATTTTTATTTTTCCTTCCTAAAAGATTGCATCTGAATCGATTGATATATGGCACTAGAATATGGAAGTATAAGAAAGAATAAGTGTCATACTGGGTATGCCACTTTGAAATATTTGCATTGGCAAGTTTGGCGAGCAACGGAATTTTTTAAATTAGTCGTGAAAATGCAAACTTAAAAAATTTTATACATTGATATTTTTATGCAAAATGAAAGTAAGTGCATGAAAGAAAGAAAAAGAAAAATGTAAATTGAATCCACAGTAATTGCAGACAGAGAATTTCCGGGTGCCAATGAGTTTGATGATATGGGAGTTTGTAAATAGATCATCAGTGTCAAATTATTCAGATCATTTTCTGTTATTTTGCAGGTTGTGGTGCTAATCGGGAGTTCAGCAAGTGCTGATGATATCTCCCTTGATATTGCTAAAGTTGCCAAAGAAGTACATATTGCATCTCGATCATTCCAGACTGTAGATACTGGAAAATTGTCTGGGCACGATAAAATTTGGCTACATCCCATGGTAAAGTTCAATAAAATATAATAAGTTTGCATCACTAGGGAAATTTCAGTATAATGTTCGTACATGGACACACACAGATCGAAAGAGTTGATAAAGATGGTACAGTCACTTTCCAAGATGGAAATGCAATCTATGCAGAAGTGATCCTTCACTGCACTGGGTGAGTTAGTGAAACTAAAATGCCTATATTTATCTCGAAAACTGAATTAAAATTGAGAAAGCATTCGTTACGAACAAACAAAAGTGTTCCCTTTGCAGGTACAAGTATCATTTTCCTTTTCTGGAAACAAATGGCATCGTGACTGTGGAAGACAATCGTGTGGGCCCACTTTATAAACACATTTTCCCTCCCACCTTTGCGCCGTGGCTTTCATTTGTTGGCTTGCCATGGAAGGTCTTTTTTCTGTGCATATATAATGTGTTTTTATTGGTATTCAGAACAATGTATGATTATATGACTTTCCCATTTTATTTTCCAGGTTGTACCTTTTCCCTTGTTTGAATTCCAGAGCAAGTGGATTGCTGGGGTTTTATCCGGACGAGTTCCCCTTGAATCCACAAAGGAAATGATGGCTGATATTGAAGCTTTTTACTCGTCACTGGAAGCATCCGGAACCCCCATGCGGTACACTCATCAAATTGGTGATTCTCAGGTAAATTTTTTAACTCTCTACTAAGATTAAAAAGTGTTGTGTTCATAAAGTAAGAATCAGAAACTATTTTTCGTTTTTTGCTATTAACATTCAGGTTCTTGGACTTGCTGTAGTTATTTTTTAATGTGGCATTTCAGCTTAACTATGTGAATCGTGCATCATATCGTGTTTTGGCTATATTTCTACAGATTTTATAACATGTTAGGCTACCATTTCCATTTTCTCAATGTTTACATTCGAAGGCATTGAATTTCTTACGTGCAGTTTGAGTATGACGATTGGTTGGCTGCCAAGAGCGGCGCACCTCCAACAGAAGAATGGAGAAAGGAAATGTACTTTGTGAGCTGGAGGAGAAAGAGGGACACGCCCGAGACTTATCGTGACCAATGGGAAGACCAACATTTGATCCAACTTGCTCATCAAGACTTCGAACGACACACTCCAGTGGTCTATGTATAGAAACACTGTCTGAATTCTTATCAGGATGTTATTTTGAACATTGTTCTGATATAATGTATAATAATGTTGCACAAATTATTGTGTAAGATAGTTTAACCATTAGGTTGATCAATTCATCACACAATGTGAATAAAAATACCCCTTGAAGTGTATTTTAGGAGTGAAAACTGGAGTCTGGACTAAATAAAATTGGAATTAGGTTTAAATGAAAAAAAAAAAATATATAGCTTTTGTTGAATAGATGAATCAAATTTAAAGTAACTTTCTCCTCCACGATAAATGTGAAATTTGATTTGATTTTTTTTAATATTTAGCATACGAATACATCATGTGTTATAGAAAAAACAAAAAGGTGACAAAGGAAAAAAATATGCACGTGTTATAGAAAAAACAAAAGGGTGACGGAAGTAAAAATAACATGCACCAGCCGGGAATCGAACCCGGGTCTGTACCGTGGCAGGGTACTATTCTACCACTAGACCACTGGTGCTTCCTGAATATGAAATGACATAAAACTTTATTTATTCAGTTGCATTTCTAGTGGACTGCAACTTCAATTCTGTGAAATACCAAATGTTAATTAGTAGTCCACATTATATTTCTTTCTGAGCTTAAACTCATGTTGTAAATTCTCTATACAAACGTCATGTATATGATTATAGGCTATAATTTATAGCACGATCATATTTCTACACAACGTGTACCTTGCTTGCACAGGAGGAAAGCAATATAGAGTCGGAAAAATCGATACAAAAAGGCGTGTTTTGCATTTCAAAAACAAACAATCTTTGAGAAAGATCTGACATTTAGCAACCGGAAATGAATTCATGTAGATCAGTCACATGATGTCCATCTTGAAAGACCCGTGCAATCACTAACACAGCGTCGCTAGTAGAGTGTATAGATTGTCAAACAGATAAGGATAAACGTCGGTTTTCTCGAATGGCATTGTGTGAATATTATTGTCTCTTGTTTATGAGCAGAAAACATGCTTCCTTCATTTGGAGGCAGAGAATTCTGGGGACACTCCAAAGAAACAGAGGCACTTTTGTTATTCATAAGAGCAGAACACTCTGTCAATGTCCATAACTCATTCAAGCAGGTCGAATGTTCTTTCCCGTTTGTTAGACAAACGAAACAATATAATCAGACTCGAAAGCTCTATTCAATTCTTGTTCTCTTTTCGGACAATAAATTATACAAACAAAATTGGCTCACTCACTGTTATAACTACACAAATGAGAAATACCAANAGGAAACCTCATTCTAGGCTAAGGCAGCCGAAGCTGTCGTGTTCTCGATTTAATCCTCTGCAGAACCCCGTCGACCGCAATATCAAACGCATCCTTCTTACTCCTCAACCCGAACGAGCTCCCGTGCTTTCTATACATCACCCGACCCATCATCTCCATCACCTTCTCCCTTTTCCTCCGAACCTCCCCTCTCCCTATCCTCATCAACACATCCAAGATCCTCACCCCTCTGAAAACCACATCTTCCTTGGGTATGAAAACCGAGAAATCTTCGTACTCGTCCTCCGGGAGATGCCACCCGTACTGCCGCCGGGCAGACAGCTCCTCGAAGAAGACGGGTATGCAGCCGGCGAGCAGGCCGTCGAACGTCGAGCGCCTGGTGGGTGTGTCTCCCGGCGGCTGCAGGCAGAAGCTTGACTGGAGCATGGGCTTCATGAACCGGATCGGGTCATGCTCGCAGGCCCCATTGGAGCAGTCCACGAACTCGCACAGTTTTCCGTAGCCTGTCCCGTTAGCGGCCCCTGGGCCTGTTGAGTTCTGGCACTCGAGGCGGATGCTGCGCCGGACGTTGGGGTTGGAGGAGAAACCGCCGCCGCCGGCGAACAGGGCGAGGGTTGTGCGGCGGGAGCGGCGGGCCCGGGCTAGCCAGGATTCGAAGAAGGCGAGGTTGGGGGGGTGGAAGGAGTGTGGTTTTGATCGGGGCCGAATAGGTAGCGGAGGGCGTCGATTCCGGCGTAGTAGGGGAGGTAGACGGCGTCGGCGGCGGAGGGGTCGGGGGTGAGGCAGGGGTACTCGAGCATGCGGCGGTGGAAGATGAGCTCGAGCATGGAGGGGTCGGTGCGGTACCAGCTGTGGGAGGAGTTGTGGGTTTTGGGGCCGAGGCCGTGGTTGGAGACGAAGGGGCAGAGGTCGTCGGCGAGGGGGTATGCGGAGCAGTTGGTGAGGAGGTCCAGATTGAATCGAGGCGGGAGGTGCCGGATGTGGATCTGCCGGCCGGTGCAATCCGATTCGGAGTCCGGGTCGTGAGGGAGAGCGGAGACGGATGCGGCGTCGAGGAGGAGGAGGAAAAGAATGGGGTAGAGGACGTTGGCCGCGCGCGGCGGTGGCATTGTGGCGGTTGTGGATTGGGGATGTGCGGTGGAGAGAGAGAGGGGGTGGGATTGTTGGAAAATTTTGTGTCTCGGTAACTGAACTTGGTCGTGGTTAAAAATTTTGGGCAATTGTTAGTTTGTTACGATTATTATTTATTATAATTAACTGTTTAATCATTTGAATAATATTCTAATTTGCAGAAGTTAAAAGAATAAATAAATAATTTAAGAGAGATTAATAAGTTAATTTGTGTTTTACTTTTTTACCTGTTCAATTCCTACCTACTCCTGTCGGTGGGAGTGCTGACTGGGTTTAAATAAAAGTGGCTGATCCGTAAATAGCGGCATTAAATAATGGCTATTTGTAAGCAGTTAGGGTGCGATAAGTAATTTTTAACTGCGGTATTTTACATCTGCGAGAGCGAGAAGAGAGTAAAGTGGCGTGGGGTGGTTGTTTATTGTTTTAATTTGATGACTTTTGTGCATTAAGATACGATTCTGTAGGCACATTTATCCATCACTTCTTATTTTAGGCGTGTGGAGTCCCAGTTCACATGCATCGTCTTTTTGACTTTTTCTTCATGCATAGTATATCGCTGTGGCTTTTCTTGCATTTATTAGTTCGTAACAAATTTCGATGGACCAAGTCCGAGTAGACTAAACTAGAGCATAGCCATAAAAAAATTAAATCTGGGGCTGCATTTATTGCAGGTATTTTTTAAGGAAAATGCGATGTATATATAATGAATGTACATAAAGATGTACATAATACTCACATAGAGTGGGGTCTATTTAATTTTTTATTTTTAGTGAATCCCACTCAATGTGAGTATTATGTACATCTCTATGTACCTATAGCACTTCCCATTTTTTAAACTAGGTAGACATGTTCATAGGTCGGTCCAGTCTTCTAGTTTAGTCCGAACCAACACAAATCGGCTCGTTGACCATAGGTCTTGAATCGGCCTGTGGTGTTGATCAGTCCAGTTCATGTCTAATACTTTATAGTTTATACATTTTGAACTGGCGACCTCAATTTCGAATAGAAACAAGAGGTTCAGTCTTTTTTTGAAAAAATATGTATATTATTTTTAAATTATTTTTTATTTCTTTTAATGAATCCAGCTGTCAAGAACTGACGGTTTAATGAACTGGCCCGTGCATATGTTCGGGCCGATTCAGGGCCCTTCAACCCTCAGCCCATGACCGGTGGTTTCGACCTGGAATCGGTTTTGGCCATGACCAGAATCGAATTATTTGTTAGCATATTTTATTTCGACTTAAATCGCTTATATATTTAAACAAGCCAAACGCAAATATTTAATAGAACTTGTCGATCAAAAAAATAGGATCGAACATGTTTGCAATCAACTCTGTAAGAGTATTTTCTTTGTCTAGAAAATGAAATCAATTTAATTATTGGAAGCGAAATCAACAAAAAACTAATGAAAAATGGATGATGAAATCTGCAATGAGACTAGCCCAATTAAATAGCCCGCAGGAGAAAGTGTGTATCAAACTTAATTATCAGACTCATTTGATACTTGTCAAGTCAGCCCGTCAAGAATTTAAAAGGCAAGAGTGTGTTGGGTCATATTATATAATAAAAATCAAGCAAAGGCACAATTGTCGTTTGACAATAAAATATTGTCTTCTTTCCTCTCACCTCAATCATAATTTTTCCACCAGTGTTGTCAGATGAACAAATTCGACTTGAATCTTAAGGTATCCAGGTCGAAATTAAATAGGATTAAATAAAAAATTACATGAAACTATTTATAAAAAATTTAAAAAAATAAAGTTAGCAATTTATTTTCTTTCTTTTTGGATGTGGGGCTGGAGCCCACCCTATCTCATGAGTGGCTCCGCCCCTAAGACTAACCCAAAATTTATTGTTCTTGTAAAAGCCTAAAAACCAACCACATTTCGTTTTCTTCAGGGATATAAATTAAAAACGACCAAACCGAATTCTTGTTTGGTATTCACTTATCTTTATTACTAAACTTTTTCGTTCGATAAAACATCATTTTGGTTTCATCAACTTTCGCTGGGCAACATTTGCAAAACATGGTCAATGAGTAGGAGCCCAAAGCTATACAAAATTAAAAATGCGCATATTTGTTTGTTGCAAAATGATGTGATTTATAACAATTATTAATATATTGCAATTACAATACTATAACACGACGTGAAACATTAAAAATTCTGAAGGCTATCAGGCAAGTCATGAATAAATGTTTATTTCAGAACTCGACTAAAACTGTTATTCGAACAGAGCTATTAGTGAATATAGCTTTGGTTAACTCTTGAAAGTTCGAACTTGACTCATTCAGTTCCTCTCAAAACCCATAATGAATCAATTCAGTATCTTTAATAGGATTCTTTCCTTCGTATCTATTGAAAAATGCTATTTGGAGTAGTATCTCTGAGAAAATTCTTTCTTTCGTATCAATTGGGAGGTGTTATTTGAATATAGATTCCTGCTAAATGCCATCAATGGCCACATTGAGACAAAAACAAAGGAGAAGTTCCTTCCTCTCATCTTAAAATATGTCTATCCGTCGACAAAAATAGAGAAAATTAGATTCGTTTGAGTAGAAAGTGAACCCGACTTTTTTGTAAAAGTAAATCACGCTCGTCTATTAAATGATTAAAATTTATCCATAAACTACTTTTTTCTTTTCGATTTTAAACGAAACAATCCGATCGAATTTATTTTGAAACAAGTCATTTACCTATTTAGAATTCATGTGTCGAGCTGAGTTGGTTCGTATGTCAAACCGAATCTGAACATGAATTATTCTGATCAGGTGAAATCGCTCATATATGTAATTATCAAATGTGATGAGCCTAAATGGTAGGCCCGCGCGTATTGAGATTTTATGTGACAAATTTTCATGCATTGTCATTTGGTTTGGATATATTTAAATTTACTTCCAATATGAAATAACTAGGTTTGGAATATCCATAAATATACTTGTTGTGGGATATTATACCAGGCTGACTTTAATATATAAGAAAGAATATATTGGACAATAAGTCCACATATGGGCTAAGACATCTATTTACTATATAATTAGACAACTCATTCTAAATATAGTAAATTTTGTTAGTGGGACCTACTACATACTTTCTATTTTGGGAAACCCACTTCATGGACACGTGTTAATATTTATTTTATTATCATTATTATTATTTTTGAAAACCAAGTTCAGTTATTCTGTTTTTCTTTTTTTTTTTTTGATCGCTTGACTACATAAAATAGAAAATTGTTTTATCAAATACGTGTTGCTCTGCAGTTGCCAAGATAATTACTTAAATAATCCATTAGTTTTCTTAAGATAAGTGATTTTAGTATGACACAATTATACATCTTAAATACAATAACATTTTAATTTTTATTTTATTAGAAGACGTATTGTTTTTTTTATTTAATGTATATGTTTTTAAATTTGTGACAAAATGAATTGTGTATATTATTAGTATTAGTAGAGAAATGAAGTTTAATATTTCATATGAAATAAACTATTACTAATATAAAGAGGTAACTCATTTCGTAAATTTTAAATTATGAGTCCCTTTAAATTATTTATATTTAAGGAAATCATTAACAATTAACCAAACCGTCAATTTCTTTTAAACAGTTAAATATTAGATGTTTTAGTGGGGTACGTAAAAAAATCAATACTTCACGATATTTAATGGTCTTTTTAATATGATATAGTGATCGGTTAATTTAGTGATTTAGTGAGCAACTGCGCACCAATCATAAACTAATATAGCTATTTATATATTTATTGACTTTAAGTATTGTTATATTGTTTTAATGAACCGAAAATCATTTTATGCAGGATTTTCAGTTAATTAATTAATTTTCAGTTATTTAGTTTTTTAGTGGGTAATGATGGGTTATTTTAGTAGCCAAAATAACATCCATCACTCCCTATATATATGTCGCATCACTCCCTATATATATGTCGACAGTTATTTGAATTGAAGTTATATAATCTATTTACTATAATTACGGACAATTCAAATAAAAAGAAAAAAATTGTTTTCAAAGAGATCAACAACGGCCTGATCGTGCATTCCCCGCAAATTTTAAAATTTATTTTTTATACTTAAATTAAATAAAAATAAATAATGAAATCTATATATATATAATAAGAATTAACATTTATCAAAATTAGTAAGTCAATTTTTAGTCAATGTCTGAATTGCATTAATTTTTTTTCCAAAAACAGCAACTATTATGTCCTTTTCACACCTAATTTAATGTCCTTTTCACGCGCATCAACAATTCATTAAATACACCAATTTGGGTCGAGAGATTTGATAACCAATTTCTTGGAATGACCGGATATTTGGGTAGAGATAAATTAAGGAAACAATCAACGTGATAAGGTCGTAGTTCGTAACCACCTTTTTTGAATGAGCGGATATTTGGGTAGACAGAATTTAAAGAAACAAAATCGGTATTGTTTGAAAATTTTAAAACTCTTTTTTTTTAATATTAACCCTACCAATATTCAAAACGTGTAGTGTAAGTTTGTTATTCATTTCTTAAAACAAATGCAAGTGTTCAATATTTTATTAAAAGTAGACATAATTTAAGGTGATTATCTCTACAAATCTTTACTGAACATTCGCATAAAATAGTAGTTCACGTTCTCATGGTGATTAACACGTTTTGAATTTTTGTATACAATCTCTACTTAGAATAAAAAATATATTGTTTTTATTTGGTAGGACTCTTTTTGGTAACAAATTTTTTGGTAGGACTCTCATTACCAACATATATAAATATATATATATATATATATATGTATATATACTCTCAATAACAGCATAAGTCATTCACCGTATTACAAACGCACATAATCATTCAACAAAAAAAAAGTTTTCTGTACAATGGATCAAGCATTTGGTTTAATCGAAGAAATTAATAGGAGCAAGATGCCTATGCTTAAAGTACGCATTGTGAGGATGTTTTATTAAGATAAGGGCAACACATTCAAGTCGCATCTCGAGTTTATTTTGCATGATAAAACGGTAGGCATATGAATTCGATTTCATTATTCAAAACAGTAGGCATATGAATTCGATTTCATTATTCACTACAAAAATATATGAATGTATTCATATTTATTATTTACATATCATAAAGATTAGTTTATAATTTACCGTGTCAATTTATTTGTGAAGGGAAAACGCATTACAGCGTGGTTACGTGCAGTCTACATACCGGGCTTCAAAGAGAAGTCCATTGAGGAGGGCATGGTCATTCTTATACGAAACTACCAAGTTGATAGCAACCTTGGTATGTATAAATCTGCAACTGACGAGTTTAAGATAATACTACATGGGGGCACTGTGTTTATGAAATGCAAAGATACTTTGTCTTTTCCTATGTTTCGATTTCTATTTAGAGACTTTGCAACTCTACAAGACGTCAACAAAATAGACGAGTCCATTCTAATCAGTAATATTACTTTATACTGTTGTGAATACTATTTGACGTATTTGATTCACTAATAAATTTATATAAAATCTATATATATATATAAAGAATTAACATTTACCAAAAATAGTAGCAACAAAATAGGTCAGAATTTAATGCAGCCTATATATAGTAAGTTTTATTACTTTTCTTATTTTTTTCTTTAAAAATCACACATCATTAAATGCTACCTTAAATTTCGGGCTTTAGTTCATTTTATTATTTAAAAAATTCGGCTAAGATTTATTAAGTGTGTATGTTTTTATTTTTATTCTTTAAATTGCATAATCAATCAATTAATCTTAATTTTTTAAAAATTACGATGTTTATTTTTTATTAATATGCATAAAGTAAAAATAATTAATTCATCTTTAGATATATAATTTATAATATTGATATACTTCATTTGGTGTAGACATTTATTATATGAATCATAAAATACTTTTATTTCCTAAAATTAAATATATTTAAAGAAAATAAGAAAATTTCTTCGGATCAATCGGGTGATTGAATTAGGGTACTGCCCATGTTGATTGAATTACATTTAGGTGATATTTAAAATAGTCAAAAAACTTGACACGAGTAGGTTGGTCCCAAGTTACTAAGTTGTATCAGTTCGACCACACCAAATCGATTATTGAACCTAATATAAATTTTATATTGAAAATATGTTATTACGTGAATGTTATGTAGTCCAAATTTCAAATAATCGTATTAACAATTCTTTTATGACAACATGTTTAATGATTTAAGAATATTTATACATCATTTTATTAGTATTTATGTGAATTAAATAATATTTTATTATAATATTTATTAATGTACAGTAAATATAAGGTTTTCAGAACTGAACCGTCATCGAAATGATCAAGCTATTTTATTAAATCATTTGTGGTTTGTTCAGATTTTAATTTATAAACATTTTAATATATATAGTACTTTTGTAATAAATTTACATAAAATGTGTTACTAAGATATCTAAATAATTTATAAATTCAAATGTTTAAACTAAGTGATAAATAATTTATAAATCTTTATTTTATTTAAATATGTAATTTTATTTAAAGTAATTTTAATATAACAAAATTTATTTAGAAAATCGTGTTGATCCTATCAGTCCAACCGACTGGTGTTGACGGATTCGAGATTAAATATTTTATTCAAGCAAACTAGGCTGGTTATAAACCGATTCTTGGTCCATCCGGTCGGACTATGTCCAAACCAGTTTAATTTTAAAAACAATGAATAAATTATGAATAATGTTATTTATATATTAAATTTATAATATAATCATAAATATTGTTTTCCCGTGCATCGCACGGGCCACGCACTAGTATGACATAATAATATGGGTCAAGCCCAACTTGAGCACTAAGGTACAATTCCTCTATGAAAGGGGCTAAGATATTTCAAAACCTAATTCTCTCTATATTCATTACTATACTCTCATTTTGCACTCTTGATTTGGAGCGAGTACTGACTTAAGCATCGGAGGCCCGACGCCGGGACCCCTCCCAGGGTTGGGGTTCTTACAGGTACGGAGACCGAACGAGTTAAAGGAGCCCGAGTGAAGTCCATTTCACCAACAATACCGTATATTTATAAAATATTAACGGCATTGATTATTTATTAATGTCATTTCTTATTCTAGACGTGATTTATAATATAAAATTTTTTACCCCAATCTTTTTATTTTCCTCATCTTTATTTTATAATTATACAACAATTACTAACTTAAATTATAAATGAATTAAAAAGTTAATAAATATTTTATTTGTTATGAATTTTTTATATATAATACATGAAATTAATTGTATCATAGAGATTAGACATCTATAGTGTATATACAAAATAAGTAAATAATTATATTTATTTTTATAATAAAAATTAAATTATTAATTAATATTAATTAGAAAATTTAAAATTATTTTAAATTAATTTAACTGTAAATTGTTATAGTATACAAATTAAAAATAAATTATTATAATATAAAATAGCAAGTCATATAAGTGATGTGTGTCTTAAATATGAATATTAATATGATTTTTTAAAATAATATTTGAAAATTATAAGAATTTTTTATTATTTTTTAAATTTTAAATATGAATTTGCTAACACGTGTAATACGCGTTGTATTTGCACTAGTAGAGTAATAACAGTATAGAGCCAAGACTCTTCTCATTTTAAAATAAATAAATAATTAAAAAAATAAAAAACAATCAGAAGTTCAAAAAAACAAAATGAAAATAAATCCTCTCCATTATCCAACCCCAAATTAAATTTGGTGTCTCTCTCAATTGATTTTGCAGTGGCTCTCAATCTTCCCCAAAGATGTTCAAAACGTCTCCCTTTAACCGCAAGAAAACCACCGGAAGTCGTCCGTTCGCCGAGTTCTACAACACCTGGCTAGCCACCCTCTCAACCACCCTCCTCCCCCAGCTCCGCCTCGCCCTCTCCTCTTTCTCCCTCTCCCCCGCTCTCCTCTCCCTCCAGGTCGACGGCATGCACCACCATCTCCAGTCCTACTACCTCGCCCTCGATCAGGCCGCCGCCGGAGACGTCGCCCAGTGCCTCCACCCGGACTGGCGCAACGCCCTCGAGAAGCCCTTCCTCTGGCTCGGCGACCTCCACCCTTACCTCTTCACCAACCTCCTCCGGTCCTTCCTCGACGACCAAGAATCGCCGTCCTCACCGGAGGAAGAGGAGGAGGACGGCGGCGGGTTCCTCGAGTACGACTCGGTGGAGATGAAGGAGTTCGGCCACCGGCCGTGGCACGTTGCCGTGGCGTGGCGGAGCCCGTCCAGGACCCTGACGGCGAGGGTCGACCAGATCGAGTGCGGGCTGCGGCTCATGGTGCCGGCGCTGGCGGCGCGCGCGCGCGGCGCGCAGGCGAAGCTGGTGCGGCGCGTGGGAGCTGACTGGGGCGGGGCGGCGGCCGTGGGGGAGGCGGTTGCGGAGGAGATGGAGGAGCTGGTGGGCGTGGTGGTGGACGCGAACAGGCTGAGGAGGAGCGTCTTGGCCGACATCGTGAGTGCCACCACTGTGTACCAGGCGGCGTTGTTCTTGGAGGCGGTGGCGGAGTTCTTGATAGGGTTTAACGATGCGAAATTGGTGAAGGAGTTTGAGGAGTGCGAGAAGGCTGTCAATTGATTTGGGGAATTAGGGCAAATTTGGGGTTTCTTGATTTGGGGAATTAGGGCAAAAAAAAAATCTTGATTTGGGGGTTTTTTCTGATTGAGCCAGAGTTACTGATTAAAGGTTGAGGCATGTGTTGAGTTAGTTTTCTTTCCCAGTTCTTGAGGTTGTGAATTGGGGATTAGGGATTAATTAGTTGTGAGTGTTAACGGAAACAATTGAATTTACTGCATATATTAGCAAATGTATACATTCTTTCAGGATTTGTTGATTTTTGCCTTTCATTGTTATGCTAAATCAGGGTTCTGTTTGCTGTGTAAAACTGTACATAATCTCTATTGTAGACCTAAGCTCATTCAAGCTCCAATGGCGTCTGTTTTTCTTTAATTGAGTTGAAAACAAACGAAAAAATTGCCTTGTTTGTTAATTCGATTGAACATGAGCATGGAAATTATTGTGTTCATGAAAATTATATATTTAATTTTTCTCATTTGAAAAATGTCTTAACAATCAGATTCGAACAATTCAAATTTTGGTTCGAAGAAGAAATAACAAACTCAAGTAGCGTTCGAACATAATCGAACTCGAGCGTGTTTGCTGAACTCGCAAAGCATGGTGGGCTAGGCCCATTTTTCCGCTATGAGGAAACATTAGGCATATTATCGTGAGGCCCAAATTATGCTTGCGGCCTGTAATATTATTGTGAGAGGCCCAACTTGTGGTGCACCGTGCACCAGGGAAAATTAGACAACTACCTACTATTGAACAGTACATTATAGAAAAACCAACTTCACCAATCATTTAGAAAAATGCATAGAAGACTTATAAAAATACGTGATTGAGAAAAAACTGAATTAAAACTTATCAAATCGCCAACNTGGAAAAAAATTATAATTTCTAAAACAATAATTTATAGGTCTAGATCCAGAAAAAAAAATCATGAAAAAAATTATAATTTCTAAAATAGATAACAGAGATTGAAAAGGAAACTAAAACATAGTTACATCAAGAAATCATAAAAAAAGAATATCATATGTAAAAAAGGATTCGATTTATTGCCAACTCATTAGATTGTGTTAGAAAGAAACATGTATACCATACATTTTAATTAATTATATATATGTATATATACATATATATTCTTTGACAGTTGATGTATATAGAATGTTAAACAAATATACACCCACCAGAATCAGTTTGAATTGTAAAAAAATTGGTATAAAACATGTTATTTTGCACTTATACAACCAATTAGAAACCAAAAACCAACTTAGTGAAACTTCAAATTAACCATTGTCACAACCAAATCTCATATCTCTGTGAATTCTTACAAAGAAACAACCACACACTAATCACCATTTCAAAAACCTCAAACCATCACTCACAACCATTGTTTAACAACCCACGAGTATCATAAAAATCGAACAAGGCACCTCAGCCTGGAATCAGCATCACAACTGAAAAACGCCGATCTACTCCCAATCACTATTCAGTCTGCAACTCGTAACCCCCTTTGCTCATCCATGACGTTCAACCCGAAAGTATCGACGCCTCGCCTGCTCCTTGGCGATCGGGCCAAGAACACCAGTCATACCCTATCGCCCCTTCACTAGCTGTTGCGCCTAATCCTTGAGTCGCTAACCGATCTGGCCGCCTGTATCCGCCAATTTCATCGACAAGAATTAGGGTCTGATTGGCCTTAAGCACCTGCAGAAACTCCTCCTTATGGGGCCACACGAGGAGACCCTTTCCTCTTCCTCTCTGATCCGATCTACCTCAGATTACAATGCCGCCGGAGCTTTATTTTGTGAAGAATCCGATGACGGTGGGCAGATTATGAGTGACGCGCAACGAGAAATCTAAGAAAGATAAACTGGTAAAGGGGGTGCCTGTGGAAATAAATAAAATGAGGGAAGATGTTGATGGATCATGGATGTCGAAAGGGAACAACTTCTCTAATTTGTAACCGTCAGTTAAAAAATCACGTACAAAAGTAAAAAGATTTGTATAAAAAATAAAATAATAGGTACAAAGAATAATGCTGCAAAATGACTTGTAAAAATATAAATAGTTAATAAATATAGACGTTTCACGCCATTTACTCCCGTGCACCATGTCTTATTGATTTCATTTTCATAATAGTCAATTAACATAGACCATGTAAATACTTTTTGCAGCTTTTAGCGGTTTGGCCATGCCAATTGCCAAACAGTTAAAAGAAACGTTTGGTAAATGATTTTAAAATCAGTTGTTTTGACCAAAATGTTGAAATGTGAAACGGTTCTATTTGCAGCGGTTGCTTTTCATAAAAAAATAAATAAATTGAGCAACCGCCTTTTTATTTATTAGCTTTTTCTAGGTGAGCAAGGCAACCAGCTTTTTATTTTTTGCAGCGTATAAGTAGCAGTAGCATTTTTCCCCCTTGTTCTTGAGTCAGTTTTTTCCATGCCTTTTCATTCCAAACACCTGAAATTAAAATAAATACGTAAATAAATAATCAAGGGGGCGATTGGATATAGTTTTAATACTAAAAAAAATCAATCAATACTCAAATTTAACTCAATTTTAATCTAACTATACTATCTCCAATATTATTAATATAATTAAATATTATTAATCAATCATTCTTACACATCAAATCAATTTTAATTCGTTGTTCATCTACTTAGATAATTTTAACTAACCATGACTTCCAATTAACTTCCAAAGGGGCGAACAGTTGATTGTTAGAGCGCATATAGCACATGCTAATTTCTCTAAGTCCATATACCAAACTATCAACTATGACTATTTTACTCATAATTCTTAAATTATAAAGTAATGTAGTGTGTTTGCTAAGCACTCTAAAATAGTTTATAACTTATTTAGCTAGTTTATAAGTTTTTGAATTTACATAAGTTGTTTTTTTTTTAAGACCAAGTGTATAGAAAGTGAGAGTTTATCTCATAAGATTTCTTATGTACCTTTTCGTAAAAATTCTTTGAATTTTTTATTCAAATTATCTATCAGCTAATTTTAACAAACACTTTTATTATATTAATTAACTAAATTTTTAACCAACATCTATAAGCTATCAACTATCATTTCAAATTTATCTATAAAGTATTAAATAATTTATCAACTATTAGCTATTTTTATGCTCGGGTATCAAACATAGACATGGTCAAAACTCGGGCCGGGTCACGACCCGGCCCGGTCCGCCGGGTCGCCGGACTCAAAAACACTGACCCTGAACCGGCACGGACCTATACTCGTGCCGGGTCCGTGTCCGGGCCGGGTCGTGTCCGGGCCGGATCGTGTCCGGGCTGTGCCGGGTCCGGGCCGGATCCATGTTTTTTAAAAAAAAAAAGTATAAAAAAATAAAAAAAAAATTGAAAAGAAGAGTCATTGACCCGGCCCGGCCCTGACCCTCCGGGCCGGGTCATGAAATGTATGACCTTTACACGGCCCGTCTGAAATTCGGCCGGTTCTGGACCCGTGGTCAACGGGTTTGACCGGGCCGTGTCAATGTTGGGTCAGTGCCGGGTCGGCGGGCCGGCCGACCCTTTGGCCATGTCTAATCAAACATAGGTGTAGACTTAAAGTAATACTTTATGTGCAATTTTTTTTTTTTTTTTTAAATAATGATATAAGAATTACAAGATGATAAAGTGAGGACAGCTTTATGATTGATGTGTTTGAATTTTAATTAGAATGTTGGAACTCGTAGTGTTTGCTTCTTTATTTATTAAAAAAAATGTGTCACGGAATGCAAAATCTCCATAGTCAAAGTGACGCCAGAATAACCGACTAATAACCGTGGTAATCTCAATAGTCAATACAGTGACGCCACAATATAATACGTTCAACGTCCAATATCATTATCTTACTCTAATAAACTGATTAATTTCTAATATCTATATATATCTATATATATATAATTGCTAGCTAAGCAATAAATTTTACCTAATAAATAAAACCTAATAAATTTTACCTATGTGGCAAATCATTAATAAAACCTAATAAATAGAACCTAATAAATTTTATTTATGTGGCATTAATACACCTAATCTCATTAATAAGAAAATATTTTATTACAGTTTTTTGGGTTAATTAAGACAAAAACCATTATATTTTATGTTAATTGATTAATAATTATATTTTTTATTGAATAATATAATAGTTAATATTAAAATTAGTAATTATATTTTATACTAAATAATATATGAAAGTTACATAAAATTATATTTTACACTAAAATCAATATTTTTTATATGATGAAGCGGTTGTTTATTAATAAATTAATTTTTTTTATGTATAGTATAATTTCTAAAATCACATAAGCAACTGTTATAATTAATGTAATATTTTTCAGCTAATTAATTGGTCATGATCACTCAAAATTATAAAAAGTATATATTTATTACATTTTATGCAATCAATATAGTGATTCGTATACAATCAAATTGTGTGTACTATTTATTTTAACCAATTACCAAATTTTAAAATATAATACTATTATATAATTTATAATTTTAATGTTATATACATAAATATAACTTATAATATAATATGTTTAAAATATAATACAATTATATAACTTATAATTTTTATATTATATACATAAATATAACTTATAATATTTAATTTTATTTACATCTGTGCAAATGCACAGAGTCGAATACTAGTATATATAATTACTAGCAATAGCATTTAATAAAACCTATTTAATTTTACCTATGTGGCAATTTAACAATTTTCCCTCCAAAAACCGTTATATTTTGATGTATTTAATTTTTAATTTAATCATTAAATAATTAATACTCATCACTTCAAAATTACAAAAATTATTTTAAACTTTTGATTAATGACAGTTGACCATATAATGTGTTGACCGTATATCTATATATATATATAATTACTATCTAATAACATTTAATAAAACCTATTTAATTTTACCTATGTGGCAATTTAACAATTTTCCCTCCAAAAACCGTTATATTTTGATGTATTTAATTTTTCATTTAATCATTAAA